ATGTGAAACTTTAAGCCAAAGCAACAAGGTTTTTGGTAGGGACTTTTAAGGGATATTAAAAATTTAATGGAAAAAAAAGGGGAGACCACTAGGACCACATTTTTCTATGCTTGAAAAATTTGTCTATGCCTTATGTGTGTCCTTTATATATGTCCCATAGATATTTTTATATAAAACCCCTTTTGTGCCTTCTTTTACAGCTGACCAAAATGTCTTCCTTCATAGTAGACCCTTAGGCCATAATCAAAGACAAAAAAAAAACAATTATTAAAATACTAATTGACCTCTTCCTCCTTTTCCTATCTGTTCCATCTTTCAATAATAAAATTCATAACTATACCCCACAACCCCTTACCATCGTTCCTCTGAAAATATAAATTACTTCCGTCACGTGGCCACAAAGTTTAAACATCACGCAAAAAATTAACCCCTTTGCCGTTCAAAAACAACATCAACAACAAAAAACAACTCCAAAATCCTTGTCATGATATTTACCATCAAAATATTTGAGTTGTCAGTTATTTACGCCTTAATGCCATTTCACCTTCCTGCCTGCCAGGCTGTCTGTCTGTCTTTCGCGCTCAACATTTCATATTTCTTTAATTTTTCTTAGTATTCCTGGGAAAGAAATTTACGTCCAAAAACGGATGATTGTTGTTGTTTTTTTACAGGGAAACATTTCGTTCTTAATTTTACATCAAAGTAGCAACTCAAATGAATTTTTTGAGTCAAAAAAAAATATTGCCCAAATCATCGTCATCATCATCAACATGATGGCTTTGCTTTCATTTGTGTTACATTTTAATTACAAATCAAGGTAATTGGATTACATTTTATGGTTTTTTGTATTAGAGTTATGAAGAAAAGAAGATGAAGACGAGGAATATTGAATTCTTTTAAAAATAATTATTATTTTATGTTTTATAAGAAATGGTTATATTAGTTAGGAAAAATTGCAATAAATTATGGAGAAAAAAATGTAATCTTCGACAAAAAAATAAGGCTTGAAAATTTTCTACACAAATCTCACCCTTGAAAAAATTATTTTAAAAAATATTTAATTCAAAAACATAAATTCCACCTGTAGGCCTATTCTGTAACTTTTTAAAAACATTCGGCATTGTTTATTTTACAACAATTTCATTTATTTGTTTTGTTGTTTTTACAATAACAAAACAAAATTAAAAAATATCGTATATAATGTTGTTAAATATATCCAAGAAGAATGGATGGCCTTTAAATTGATACCAATTATATTATACTATGTCCCACACATAAAATCGACTTAATATTGCAGGTGCTAACGTTTTTTTTTTTAATATTCACTAAAAAATATTAAAAGGATTTTCTTATAATTTTCATTGCAAGGTATGGTCATGACAACGCCTATTATTTTCGGAGAAATTAATAAAAAAATTTTTTTTTTATATTTTTTTGGAATCAAAAAAAATTATTATCTCGATTACAAATATAATTTTTATAAATTTAAATATAATTTTTAACAATATTTTAAAAGGTATTAAATTTAAATAAATTTCGAAAATGAATTGTGGAATTTATTTTGTGGCCCATCAATTAACAGCGCATGGCTGCTACACCCCAAGCTCCTTCACAAAGAAAATGGATAAAAGCATTCGTTGTGTGAAAATATTCCATAAAGCTTTTAAAAGCTATGTACACATAGAAATTGTATTTTTAAACCAAAAAGCTAAAGGGAAATAAAAGCTATTATGTGTGCCAAAAATAGCTTTTGAAAGCTTCAAAGAATATTCCATTAGCAATGACAACAATAATTTATAAAATACCAAAGAAAGTCACCCGCATATCTTCTCAGTGGTATCGTAATGGAAGTGCGTCACTCGAATACATAAAGCTACGTTTATATTGATGGGCAAAGCTTGTTTTATACTTCTTATCATATTATTAGGTTTTATAAAAGAAAACTGAGTTAGACCTACATATCGAGAGAAAACACAGAAATGAAATAAATTAAACATTGGGATCCAGGTTTTCCATAGGCTTCGGAAGAAATAATTTAATCATTGGGATCCCAGAACTTCCATAGGCTTCGGAAGGTCTGGAGATTTAGAAATAAGTCTGGGATTGTATAAGCTACTAAAGCTAATAAATAAAAATATCTGTTACTAAAATCAGAAGATCTAGTCATCTTCAGATGACATTGTAGATATTAAAATTATATTTTGGGAAGCGCTACATTACTTCAAGACCCTCACTAATACCAAAAAGTCTTTAATATTTACGTAATAATTAATCGAAAATGGGCTTGGGTTCTTTATGATGATGCTATGTCAACCCTCAGCCTATGTTTTGCGGAGTTCTACGGAATTATCATTAGATTTTATTATTTTTTTATTGCGTAGGTATCACAGAGAGTGGAACAGTGGTTTCCATATTCGGACTACATTTAGGTTTCATTACAATTTGCAAGACTTCAAGGCTTTGAAGAAATCAGAAAAATGTCGAGAGGTATATGTGGCTGTAGATCAAAAATAAAATCTGATTATATGGATATAAAACTTCCCAAAGTGTCTGAAGGAAACTTTTTAAGGAAACCTAAACATTTAATTGACGTCCCTCGAGAGTTCTATATATCTAGAAGGCTTTACAGATATTCGAATGTCTCTACAATGGACAGACAGTCGAAAATACGTTAGAGAGATGCAATCGTCAGGATCTATCTAGAGATCTCGTGACATCTGGAGGTTGAAATATCTGAAGCTTTGAATATTTTGAGGCCTTTAGATGTATTCGAGGTAGACTTGATGTCCAAATTACACTTGAGAGATATCAGTCCACAAACGTATTACAATTTGCAAAGTTTGTATCAAATTGGACATTCAATTCGCTTAAGAAACAAACAAGAAAATATAGACCTGTGGGGGAGGTACTAAAAGGATTAAACCGACTGGTCCCATCTTCGGACATAATCATATGAGATGTACAAGTTTTAAAAATGTTGACATATTTTGATGGAGGTACTAGAAGGAGTGGGCCGATGAGACCCATATTTCACCTTTTTAAAACCAGGAGAATATAAGGTTGTGCAAAGTTTAGTTCAAATCGGATAGACCGTTCGCATGATATTAGAATAGTAAAAATCATTAAAACGCAGACCTTATTGTGTGGGATGTAGCAAAAGGAGTGGACCGATATTCCACATATTCTAATTTGATTTAAGTTTTGAAGAAATATTACGATGTCCAAAGTTTGGATGAAATTAATTACTTCCCTCGAGAGTTATAGTGCACATCAACCAGTCCGGCAGACGGACATTTTTAAATCGATCCCAAATAATCTGAAACGGATTTGGTCCAAAACAACATGGGCGTCTGAAACCAATATTTCGATGTGACATTTTTTTGCTGTAGCAAAGTGTATATACCACAATTAACCATAAGGCTAGTGGAATAAAAATTAAGTCTTTGGGATCTTTAATGACAAATGGTGGTCTAATTAGAGACCTATTATTATATTTTGTAAACTAAATGGTGACAAATAATGATCAATATTTTCATAACTCAATAACTGCGCCCTATTCCACAATGTAATTAATTAAAAATAATTGAAATTATATTTTATGTTTTAGGCCGATTGGAGTTGTAAAAGGCGACCTAAAACGGTATGTATTTTTATATGAAGGGATTTAATAAGGTTCAAGATATTTTCAGAGTATTTCAGACATTCGTAACACCTGAAGGCTTTAAAATCCCTCATAATTTAATTGTCAGGACTTATCAGAAATCCTAAATAAGATTTAAAGAAACTAGGGTATCAAATATATCTCGTGGGCTTTAGAAATTTTTGAAAGCTTTCATAAAGGACTTCAGGCCAAATAAATACTTCCAATTAATTAGAAAAACATTGAAAGGTATTTGAGGTTTAAAGTCAAAAGAAAAATCTGGTGATCGGATTGCATACAAGTAAGAAAGACCTATTTATCTGGAAGATCACTAATTTAAAGATAAGTGAATGTCGCAAAAAAATAAAAAATTGTGTTAATTTTTTTTAATAAAAAAACTACTCATGTTTTTTAAATATTAATTATATATTTCATATTTTATTTATCATTATAATTTTTATTTTTCACTTATTAATTTATATTTCTTAATGGTGATGATGGCTTTCCTTCTTTTCATTTTTATTTTTTATATTTTACAAACTATAAATGCTTATCTGGTAACTGAATTTTATGATCAGCGTTCGGTTATACAAAATACGCTTTTCTTTACTACTTAATCAATCAACTTCTTCTTCCATATATATGGGGATGAGAGTGGGTGTGAGGAAAAATGGGATGAGAGGAGAAAATCGTTGGCTAAAATTAAATATATACAGTGGATAGAATTTAAAATGAAATAGAAAGGAATACTGCTAAGAGACTACACATTGTTTTTTGTTTTGTTTTTTTTTTTAAGATTTACAGATTTTGTTTGGTTTTTTTTTAAATTAGCATAAAATTATGGCTTCTTAAAAGTTGTTGTAATTTTTGTTGTTTGTTTTTTCTTTCTTATAAATATAAAAAATTGCTTTAATTAAAATGTTTTTCTTTTTGTTTCGTTTTTTTTTCATCATTAATTTTATAAAAACCACAAAGAAAGTCACAAGTGTTGTACACTTAATCTTAAGTAAAAATAAATGTGAATAAAATTAAGAGGTTTCATTGTTTTAGATTTTTTTACAGAAACATAACTTAAAAATCAAAGTTATTGATTATTTGTTGTTGTTTGTAAATGTTAATAAATAATTATTATTTTTATTCTTATTATTATATTGGTAATAATTATTATGTCATGCTATTCTTAAAAATTACTAATTTAATTTATCAATCTATTCGTTCGTTTATGTTCTCATGAGGCAGTATAAAAAAAGACTTAAGTAATTTTTGGCTTTTTTGAATGAAATTTGTTGTTTTCAGTTGAATTGAATGATGAATAAATGCATATCAGCTTCCACACTGCACAGTGAGCAGGAAGTTCTATTTACTTGTCCAGACTTTGTATGGCCTTGCTCAAAGCCGAACCCAATTGGCTAAATGATGGTCTTTCTTTGGGATTGTGATTCCAGCAGGAAGTCTAAAATAAAAACAGAAAATAAATAATTAAAATGTGTTCGGTTGTTTTAAATAGTTCATAACATACCAATATCTCCTTGAGACACTCCGGGGTACCCTCGGCACACTGCCATTCCAATTTTTGTGACTGACTCCTCTGTATCACCTCTTCATTGGTTAATTCCTCGAATGGCAATTTGGTGGCTTGTGTAAATAATTCCCATACCACCACACCGAATGCGAAAATGTCACTCTTCGTGGTGTACTCATCCTCTTGGATGCATTCGGGTGCCAACCATCTAATGGGCAATAGGGTATTGCGATGTTTGAAATATTCTCGACTATATTTATCTTTGCTTAGGGCGGGATATGAAACCTTAACAATGAAATCACTGGAAATTATGCAATTGCGGGTGGCCAAATCTCTGCGGAGGTGGAAGAAGAAAAGGATTTTTATTAAAATGTTATCGAATTATGGGAATTTGTTTGTTGGACTTACTTGTGTATAAATCTTGCACGGTAGATGGCATCCATACCACGTGCAATTTGATATGCCACAGCCAAAACTTGTCCCGTCAGCAGAGGTGGTGGTGAGGAGGAATTTGTGGAAGTATTGACTTTACCGGCTGTGGCCAAAAGGAATTGTTTGAGATCGCCCTGAAAATAATAGAAAAAAATAAAATTACTTATCGAATCGTTATAAAATTAAGGGGATTAAATATTAGGTGGGCCTGGAGGGAGGGAGGGAGACCTAAACAAACCTGAAGATCGATAAACAAACGCTTTTGCGACGATGTATAAAAATAAGTTACGGAATGGTTCTGGTAATTAAAAAAATGCATGTGTTGAGGCACAATTTTGATGGACTTTTTGAGGTATGTAAAGACCTTTAAAATTATCTAAGGAGGCCTGAAGGTCAAAAAGCAAATCTGAATATCATGTTCTGAACTGAAGGCCTTCATATGATCTGAAGATTTTCGAGAAAGTCTAAAGTTTGAAAATAAACTCTGAAAATAGAGTCCTGAGGGACAGCTTAACGAAGAAATGCTATTATTACGTTTCTAAAATGCCCTGAAGGCCGAAACAGGCTTCGAAAAAGACCTACATGTCGAAATGATGACCGAAGGGACTCGAAAAAAAATCGTTGAAAACCCCTGATTTCGTCTAAAGATTTTCGAGAAAGTCTGAAAATTGAAAAGAAACTCCGAAAATCGAGACCTGAGGACGACTTTAGGAGAGAAGTAAAGTTTTTAAGATTTTATAGTGTCCTGATACTCGAAAAAAAAACTATGTAAACACAAAGGCTTTTAATAGGCAACTAGTATAGCTTTCGATCTCAGATTCTACAAGGATCCAGGGATTTAAACATAAGAATTTACCAATGAAATTATAATGACTCCTGATGTACCATAAGTACCCTTGAGATGTAATAGGAGCACCATTTAGGTCATAATAAGTCCAGATAAACTCTGAGGTTACATCTTAAGTACAACTGAGTGGTCATTATAATATTAAAGGTAATAAACGTTGGGTCCTTGGCATCTATACGGCCTTTGGAAATCTTCTATTTTCACAGTTACCTATTTCTTAAAACCATCTATGAGGTATTCTCCTTCTTCTCTCAACTTACCCAATCGGTATATTCCAAGACCATATAATGTGGATCCTTTTCACGACACAAACCGAACAGCCGTACAACACCCTTATGTGTCAGTGTGCGGAACATTTCAATTTGCCGCCTAAATTCCTGGCATGCCGTTTCATCTTTGATTTTGTTCAAGGCCTTAACCATAACCAGTTTATATTCATCCGAATTGGCATTTGCATTCGCTTCATTATCACTACTGCAAGTCTCTTGTTCTTCTTTGATTTCTTCAATATCATCCATGGACGTTTTCGAACGGCGTTTCTCCACTGTGGTTGAGGTTGTGGCCGCTGAACCATTACCATTATCACTGTTGCTATTCTTTTCCGTATCGGTGTCTTTATCATCGGCAGTGGTTTTTATGAGGGATGATTTAATTTTACCCACAAAAACATCACCAAATTCACCGCGACCCACTTGAAGCAGTTCAGTTATTCCAGATCGGGGGAAACTTAGTTGGTCATAGACATTGGATTTTTTCGAAGTTTTGGAATGATTGCTGCAAGCAGTGTCATCAGATTTTTGGGCATCATTGCCACCATTGGCCTTGGGATTGTTGTTGCCATTGGCTTTGCGTACTTTAGCGGTTTTGGATTCGGAAAGGCAGGGTTCATTTTCGGCATTCTTTTCACCTTCACCGGCTTCGGGATTGTCACGACCCTCGTTGAGACGGGCCTTGCGGGCCTGGCGTCTATAACGGCACCAAATCATAAGACCCACAACCAATATGATATAGGCAAAGGCCACGGACATGGTTATTAAAACGGCTCGGGTGATAAGGAAGCCTTCTTGGGGTTCCACTTCAACATCACCGGTGGCTGTGAATAAAAAAAATTTAAATTATTTATTTATCTTTCGGATTAAATTCCATTTTCACTTACCCTTTACAATAAATCGCACTTCCTCTCGCTTCAGCCCGGCACTGTTGCCAATCGTACAGCCATAACTACCCTCATCCTCCGGCTGGACATTGGTTATCTGCAGTGTACCATTTTCCAAGAAATGAAAACGTGTCCGGTCTGTGTTATTCTCGCTCAGATATTGTAAATCTTTGTCCCATTGTATGGTCGGTTTGGGATCGCCCGTTGCCTGACAATGCATTAGGGCCACACCGGACTCCACACTCTCAATGGGTCCTTCGGGTGCCACCAGGAAACGGGGTGCAACCACAACATTAATGCTGACAGTGGCATTTATTTGTCCCTGCGAATTGATGGCCACACAAGTGTAGTTGCCGCGATGTTCAGCTGTGACATTTTTAAAAGTCAATGTGCCATTAATGTCCTCCAATGTATCTGGCAAGTCATCCTTGAGATCCTGCAATAAAAAATAGGAGAAGAGCAGAAAAGTTGGTTAGCAAGTGAGCAAATTTATAACAACAAGAAAAAATGAAACTCTTCTTCAAACTTATTTTTATTTGCACTCCCTCCTCCCCTTTCACTACCACCCACCTACAATGTCTCTCCTACTCGACCACCACAGACAATGGACAACAACGAGCCGGAAACAAACTCCAAGTTAATAAACTGACCCATACCGCATCCAAGTAAGCTACCTACAACCGAACTACCGTATGTCTGTCCGTCCGGCCGAACAACCAACCTACCGTCATGCTTCTATGGTTTCCCATTGTTCGAAATGAGTGTTTCTGCCTGCGGGACATCAAACACTTCTCAGCCATTGTCGTTGTTGGTCATTGACTTGTTTTATTTGTTGTTACGAACAACAACAACAGCAGCAGCAGCAATAACACCAACAACCAAATTTCCTCCCCATAAGTTTAGAAGCACACTTCAGCAGCCAGTCAGCCATCCCGCCAGCCAGTTAGTCAGCAGCAATATTTGCCAATGCACCACTGACTGTTTTTTTTTCTTTTTTTGCGAACTGTGCGAACAACTCTAAGCTCTTTAAAGTATTTATCTTGAAAAGTATAATGTTTTCAAATAAAACTAATTCTGTGCCATTTTCTTCTGCCATTTCCACAATTTTCCCATTCTCAATAAATTTGTTTGTTGTTGTAGTTGGGCTATTTTATGCATCGGTGTTTTTTTTTTCTCGAAGCTATTCAAACTATTATTTTTTTGTTTGCTTCATGTTTAGTTACTGCTCCCCCATTAAGTTAGTTCGGGATTGTTGGTCATTGGCACAGTGGTTGTGAAGAGAGGGAGAGAGAGGAAGCTAGTGGGACCGGCATAGAGAGAGAGAAAATTTAAGATTTGCTTATCCATATCCAGGGAATCTCTCAGTCTACTCAAGATTCTAGCCAGTAATCTACTTGACGAAATCTTGCAAAAGAATGAAATATGTCCAGTAGGAAGCTCCAAGAGCACGTAAATCTTTAGCTAGAATACCTCCTGGGGTCTTCCTTATTTATAAACCTCGTAAGGTAAGAAAACTCTCTCAAACTCTTATTAAGATAGAAAACTGCGCAATAAATCGGAAAGCTCTCTAATAGATTTAATACACGTGGTCCGGGGATGTTTTGTAGGCAGATATCCTCCTGAGGAAGTCAATAGACAGAAAATCTCTCTTGATGTTTGTCATCCTGAAGTCATATATACATATCACCTATTCAAGCCTTAAATATAGATCAACTCTTCTAGAAAAAGCTCTTCTGAGCTCTGATAACTTATTTAGACAGAAGGCCTCCTGAAATCTTCTGCACAAACAAGACCCCACAAATTTTCCGAAGACAAGGTACCTCTTCAAATTTAAACTTCTTCTTCTGGACCTTCTATATGCCGAAATATACCTGCAGAATTCTTCTATAGGTATGTATATTTTTCTTTTAAGATCTTCTATGATAGAATTCTCTGAGCTTTACTGTAGACAAAATTCCTCGTGAGATATTCTGCATATCTGAATCCAGATCCTTGTCTACAGGCTGTTGACCTCCTGAAATTCTCAGCGGATAAAATACATCCTGAAGTCTAAGGAACTTTTGACGGCTTATGCTCCTCCTAATGAAATTCTGTGTAGATATAAACTCCTGAGATTTTATATGGGTATATATTCTGAGGTCCCGTTTAGACATAAATCCTTCTTCGATACATGATAGACAAAATACCTATTAAGATGTTCTTAAAAAATGAAATACTGAAAGTCTGTCGACGCTATTCTAAAGATAGAAGGTAATTTTCCACAACCAGCACGTCTTCGATCTATACAGGATCCTCTAGAAATTCAACAATATTTTTACAACATGTCGGCTATCTCTTGAAAATGTTCCGAAGTAATTCTATCGTTAGACAACGTTTGGGTTCATAGACAGTCCTCCACAAATGCCTTCCCTCCTCCCTATTAGGAGCTCCTATTATATTTTTTTATCAATGACATCAATTCACACAAGTTATTAAATAGGTCGATATAAAGAGGGACTTCTGGAAGTCTTACACGATTTCCCAAAAGTTTTCTAGTCCCAGAAAATTTTCCACATTTCTTACTCATAATTGAGAGATTCTAAAAGTCTAAAAGATGTTAAGGCAAATTTTTCCTCTTGTTTGCCAAATTTCCCCACTGTGCAAAAATAAAAAAAAAAAACATTTTGTTTTTGCGAAAATAAAACTATTTCACATAAAAGTTTTTCTTTCTTATCTGTTGTGTGTTTGTTTTTTTTCTTTTCTTTGTCTTATGTTTTCCGGTCGATTTTCACATAATTGCCCTTAAGCCACTGTCTTAGCACGGCACCTGCTGCTAACTTGGCAGTAGCTGTTAACTAACTCTGGCAGTAAATCTTCACCCCAAAAAACAAAACAACAAGGGAACACACACACAAGAAAACACAAAACTACAAATAACTACACAGGAATGTTGAAAGAGAGGGAGAGAATGGTATAGGAATAAAGAGGAAGAGGGTAAAAAAACTTACCTTAAGCCATTTAACTTGCGGTGTTGGCGTACCCTGCGCCTTACAATGCACCTTACCCACCGAACCTAATTCAAGATTTTTCGAAGTAGGCTGTGGCATGAATTTCAATTGTTCAATGACTTGCAGTTCACCCGGCTCCGAAGTGACAGGGCGATAACCTTCTATCACCACTTGACAAACATATTGGCCAGCATCACTGGCTATGACACTGGAAAAGACCAGAGAACCATTGTCTTTGCTGATGGCCACCCGGGTATCCTCACCACGTAACATGGGATCCTTGTTGGCATCCAAAGAACGTTGTGACACCGATGACGATGATGCACCGGCTCCATTCAATTCCATTTGCCGTATAATTTTACCATCCTTACGCCAACGCAACACCACTTCGTTTGATGCCTCGGCGCTTTTCAAATATTTTTCCGGTATGGAATATTGACAGGATAATTCCGCTGGATCATTCTCTTTGACAGTGGCACGTTTCTGAGGTGGCTGGGTTATTTGTACATCCGTGGCAGCAGGTAATTTATCATCTCCGCCATGTGTAGTAGCATCACCTCCGCGTTTGCCGCGACACAAAAACATATCCTTCATGCCATCCGGAATGATGTAGTTTTTCTTTAGACGTGGTAAACAATTTGTTGACTCCTTGACATTGGACCATTTTAAAATGTAGCCTTTTCGGCTCATAACACGCCCAGCAGCATTGGAGGCAATACAACGATAGAGCCCTGTATCTTGGCCCGTTGGGTTGCGTATAATTAAACGATTCTCAACCAATTCGATATTTTTGATGCTGCTTAATTTTTCACTATTACGGAACCATTCAATTTCCAGCATGCCATCACCGGATGATGCCTCAACGTGACATTTTAAAATCACTTCGTGCTGATAATTGGCCAATAATTGAACGTTGGCAGTTTGAATCCCTGCAAAGAAAGACAAGAGGAGGACACAAATTATTAACTATGAAAATAAGAGGAGAATTATGGAATCAAATTATATGAAGAAATAAAACGCACACCCCAACACACGTAATAATAATAGGAATCCGCAATAAAACATGGGTACAAATTCTGTTACAAAAATCAAGGATGGAAAGTCTGTTAATACCAATGTGGTGGAGACTATTTATGGAAATCTCGTAGAGAGAAGACCTTCAGGAGTAATTTTATAGAATTGACAATGGAATCCCATATTTGGGCGTTCGAAAATTATCTAGAAATTTCATATAGATAGGTAGCCTTCCGAAAATAATCTGGATATCGTTTGAAGTCCCCCATAGGAATGAGAGTTAACGAGAAAAGCTAACCTCTAGAGGCCTTCTTATACACTAGACCTTTTAAAGAACCTCGTTAAATATAAGAGTTCTAAAATATCTTCTAGAGATGTTGTGAAAACCCAAGACGACCTTTTAAAGACTGGTGATATTATATAGGTATTCACAAAAACATTATTGACAGAAAACTTCTCTTGGATATGACCTATCCGCAGTCCATGGTAGTAGGTTCTTAAGTGGTCAAATTATTGACTTTTCCAGATAATTGTTTTACACTGGAGTCTCTGTCAAGATTTTCTTTGTGCGGAAGGCTATAGGATAACTATCAAATTATTTTCTATAGTCATAAGATCTTCTGCAGGTCTTCCTTAGAAAAATTTTTATAGAGGCTATGTGTAAAAGAATTACTAGAGGTCCCCTAGAGGTATTCTACACAAACAAAATCTTCTACAGGGGTTCCTTTTAAGCGTATTCTCTGAACCAAAGACCTTGTAGAGGCTTTCTAAAAGACATTAAATTTTAAAAATTAAAAAAAAAACTAAAGCTTTCCCGGAAATCTTCTATAGAACTTGTTTCTAGAGGCCTTTTACAACCAGAAGAACTTGTGAAGGTCCTGTATAGGAAAAGAAATTATATAAAAATGTCTATAGACCCCCTAAAAGTAATCTTTAAAGACAGGAGGGCTTCATTGTAAGGATATTCTCTGAACAGATCTTCAGTTTAGAGATCTTTTATAGACAGGACAACATTTAAAGACCCTATTTGGATAGAAAACCTTTTATTGGACATCGAGATTTAAAGGACAGAGATCTTAAATTAACAGAATACCTCCCAGAGGCCTTCAACTGATCGCCTATAGACAGAAGGCCTTTCTCAAGTCTTATATCTCCATAGGAACTTCTCAAGTTCTTCAATGCATCGAAAAGGAAAGACTAGGCGTCTCCTGTAACCAGAATGCAGAGGACTTTTGACCCTCAGGTCTCCATAGGACTTTCAGAGCACTTCTTCAAAATGCGCATAGGTCCATTATGAGATGGGTTTCTCTATGAGATCTCTTGCAGTTATTTTCAACAACATGACAATCTGCAAATACCCTCCCGTCCCTGTTAGACAGGCTATACTGAAACCAGAATGCAGAGGACTTTTGAAATTTGTCTAAAGAAGCCTATAGAACTTTAGAACTTCTTGTGACTTAGAATTTTTCATAGACCCTCAGGTCTCCATAGGACTTTCAGAGGACTTCTTCAAAATGAGCTTGGGTCCATTCCTAGATGGTTTTCTCTATGAGATCTCTTGCAGTTATTTTCAACAACATGACAATCTAAGAATACCCTTCCGCCCTTGCATGCAGAGAGGCTATACAAAAAATCCCCCTCGCATTTATGCATGCGTAAAGTAATCCATAAGACCCCATTATATGCTGCAGTTATCCTGCTTACAATGTTTTCTGGTTGGTGTTGTTGGTTTTTGTTGCTGCCGTAGCTTTATTTGGTGTTAACAACCAAGCAGGAAATTTTTGACGTGTGTGTATGTGTGTGAGTGGATTTTAAAGCTTTAGAATGCAAGTTGAACTCTGTTTTTTGCAGAGGCCCATAATTGAAGGCAGAAGAGTTGGAAACCAGGAGCAGCAGCGTCAACAACAACAACGATAACAGCAATTGCAACAACAACAACACATTCGTGTGAATGCAAAACAAAAAAATTATTTAAGCGTACAATAAATTGCACTTAATGCATTTCCATAACAATCGTAAATGTCATGAATGCCAGGCATTCAAACCAAGCCATGGCAGGCAGGCAGGAAGACAAACAGCCAGCCAGCCAGGGAACCCAACGAATCAAGCAACCATCCAACCAGGCGCTGTTTGCCCATCCAGCTAGTCAGCAAATAAACGCAGAGCCTTCCATGGGCAAATGTTGTGACTTGCTACAGGCGAAAATTTCATTTATTGGAAAAACACAAAACTCAAGAATGTGTTAAGCCAGGAGGGAGAGAGGTGGGAACCAGGAGTGGAAGGAGATGGGGAGTAGCGGGTAAATGGGGTAGAGCAAACAAAACAAAAATTGCAGCACATTGCAGGCATACAAATCTATTCACTGAAGATTATTATGGTGATGAGGATGATGGAGTATTGTGGCTGGAGTATGAATCTGGGAGTAGCCATGGTTTTTTTGTTTAAAAGTAATCTCCAAACTAACAACAACGATAACAAAAACAAGAACAACAACAACATTGAATATAACAAGCAAGTGATGTTTGTTGCTGGGGTTGCAGAGCAAACTGCAACTGCAATTTGGTGCTGAATGTTAGCTTCCATGATTTGTTTGGTTTTGGTACCTTAAAATGACATGTGCCATGTTGGCAGTGTTTATATGGAACTCCACCACCAACGAAATGGGACAGAAGGGGAAAAAGTAATTTAGAAAATAAAATACTGAAATGTGGATTTGTCTTTTCAACACAAATAAAGGCATTCTTCTTCTGGGGTTTTGTGTGTGAGTGTGTGTGTTGAAAGAGAAAGATATTTTTAATTTCATTTCTACTTATATCGAAAAAACAAACAAAACATTTAAATAAAATACTGCATTTAAGCTCTTACTTTTTTCGTTGGAAAATAAAATTTAATTTTTAATTGAAATTCCATACAAATCCCTTTTAAATCCATTAAAACTCCATTAAATATGAAAACATATCCCTGCCTCAACAAATATTCCTCCCATGGCCTCCCATGAGTATGGGATTTATGTATTTTATTATTATAATAACTAAAATTAAACTATTTAAAATACAAACACACACACACACACACTGACATTCACACAGACCCGAGAGGGACATGCATACCGACCGAGAGAGAGATTAAAGCTAAATTATGTATTTTTCAACTCCTGTCATTGTCAATGTGTGTGTGTGTGTGAGTGTGCAAGTGTGTGGTTATTAACAAAACACCATCTGTGTGGTTTTATGTTTATTTGTTTGGTTGACTGTTTGTTTGTCTTGTGGAATGCCCGATCCCATCGACTCTCCGGACATGATAAAACTACATTTATGGGAATTTGTTGTTGTTGTTCTGTTGCTATATTATAGGATTATTTGTATTATTAAATATAAATATATCCCATTTGCATTAAACATATATCTGTATATCTGTAGATGTGTGTAAATATGTGTTATAATTTATTTATAATGAGCTGAAAACCTTAATGTCCCTAGATAGTTTTTTGGGGAAAGATAATTTTGAGGGAGGGATTATCAAACAGATGGTGGGAAAGGTAAATCAAATGGTGATGACACATAAACAAATTTAAATTGAAAACAAAAAACACAAACAAATGTTGGGGAAATATCCAAATTTAAGATTTGTAGAGCCAGAAGATCTCCTATAGGCCTTTGCCACAGATCTTGTTTAGACGAAATACTTTCAAGATGTGTTATACGGGCATTGGAACTTCTTGACTACTTCAATAGATCGAAACCCACTTAGAGGTCTTTCGTAGACAGAAAATCCTTATTAGACCAGTTTAGCAGATAAAAACAGAATAATTTCTATAGATCTTCTATGTATGGAAGTACCTGACGACTTGAACTTCCACAGGTTTTCCACAAGCAGAAAACCTTGCAGAGACCTCCTATAAACAGGAAATATTTCAGAGGACTTTTATAGATATTTTAGAGGATTTCTAGAAATAACAGACAATCCGGAGGAATTTTACATAGAAAAGTAAGAAAATAAAAAAAAAATAAAGTTATCAAATAACTCTAGAACCTGCAGAAGTTCCTCTGTTCATAGAAAGTCCCTACATGGTATTTTGTCTAGTTCTCCAGCTTTTTTTTTCAAGATAAAAATATAAAAAAAAAATATAAAATAAAACATATAAAAATGTTTCTGTCTACAGAATATCTCTTCAAAGATTCTTATCTAGATAATACCTTCGATATATATCTCTTCTAGAAAACCTCCAGACGCAGGGCAGATCTTATAAGAAACTCTGTCTATAGAAAACCTTTAAAATATTATCTATTAATAGAAATCCTCTACAAGGCCTATAAATGGTCCTTCTGTAAAAGACATCAGCCTTTATTAAACAAAAATTTTATCTTTATATACGACATCTGAAAACCATAGAAAATCCTTGGAAGACCATTAAACTACGGACCAAATGAGATCTCTTCATTTTCTGCTGTTGCCTAAAGGCCTCTAATGGGGTGTCTACTGTTAAGGTCTGTAAGAGAACTTTTGCAAAATAAATGTTCTGTCAAGAATGCCTCTAGAAGTTAAAATATCTGATTAAGACTTCTATCGTATTTTTTGTCTTCTCCATTTTGAACATGTTCAGAAGTTACTTCCAGAATAATTATAGAATGTTCTTTTCGTAGAAGACCTCTAGAAATTCTATTGACAAGGTCCAAAATATAACTTATTTATTTTGACTAACTGATGAAGATTCGCCCTTTTGAAGATCTCCAGAAAATTTACAGCATCTTATATTTAGAAGACCTCTTGGGGGTCTACTGGCAAGGTCTCTAAGATACTATCTATAATGATTCTAGGAGATCTACTATCTGATATAGAGGGTACTACTAAGGACTCTAAGAAAAAATGCTTCTAGAAATTAAACAATCTCCACCAAATTGTTAAATTTCTATAA